TCACCTTCTCAGATGAGGTTGGTGTCTCATACCCAAGGTATGAGCCAACAGAGAAGTTTTAGCGGGCTCAGTTGGGGACAAGACACTGTCTAAGCAGTGGTTCTCAACCTGTGGGTCGTGACCCCTTAGGGCTGCTGCCTATCAGCTATCTACATTATGATCCATAACGGTAGCAAAATTGCAGTTATGAAGCAGCAAGGCAACAATTTTATGGTTGTGGGGGTCACCATGAGGTGAGGAACTGTGTTGAAGGGTGGCAGCGTTAGGAAGGTTGAGAGCCACTGGTGTGGAGTTACTGAGTTCCAGCAGACATCTGTACCAGCGGCTGCCTGGCTCCTGAAGCCGGCCAGGAGCTGTCCAGGTGCTGACTGGACCGCTCTCCTTCCTACCCTCCTGCTGACGTTCCTTTCTTCCTGCTCCCCACCAACACCACCCCCAGGGCCTGTATTCGAAGCTACTCCTTGTAACTTTCTCCATAATCAAAACCGAGAGACATCTTCATTCTGTGGTTGGGCTCCCCTGACCTTGAAACTGTCTTAGAAATCTAGTTACCAAGGGGACGACGCAGGAGAGCAGACGCCGAACAGCTGGCCTTTGAGTGAGCACAGCACGGAGAACATGGAGAACAGCCATGCTGGGAACAGGAGCTGCTGTGGCAGTCACCGGGTGGGAATGCAGGCAGCAATGTCATCGCCCGGGTTCCACGGGACGCTGCCTGGAGAATAAGGGAGAGCGTGTTCCCGGGCAAGAAAGGAAATGACTTCTTTTCCTGCTGGGCCTGGAGCCTCAACAAGGCACTCACTGGGCTGTGGGAAGGAGAAGGGTGGGTAGCTGGGAGGCAGCGTGGAAAACAGCTCAGGCTGGCTGATTGAAGATGGAGGATGTGTGGCTGGGTCTGACAGAGCAGGAAGAGGGAAGATTATGCTGATGTCTCTAAAGGACATATTTCATACCTGGCCCAGCAAAATTAAGTGCAGGAGGGAAGGGTAGCTGTGTGCAGAGCAGATCCCACAGGCAAAAAAAGAACTGGTGAACAACACAGCACAGCCTTGCCTTCTAGGTCCCCATCGACCAGGCTGCCCCTCCTCTTTCCCATCTCCTCTTTCTCTACCTCTTCCTCCTCCTCTGCTCCTCCTCCTCCTTCTCTCCTCCTCCTCTTCTTCATCTCCATGGGTTTCCTGTACTTCAGGATGGCCTCAAATTTACCGTGACCTCAAACCTCTGAACTGACCTTCCTGCCTCCACATCCTAAGTGGTTGGATGATTGATATTTGCCACCATACCTGATTCATGTGGTGTTAGGAATCAAACTCAGGACTATGCATGGCAGTCTACCAATTGGGCCACATCACCAGCCCTGGCTTTTGGCTTCTTGAAGCCTACTATTCCTTAAGCTCCATGGCCAGTCATCCTGTCCTCTGGGCCTTCCCTGCTTGCCCATTTTGAGTTGTGTGCTTCAGAACAGCTTCCCAACTCTCCTGTAAGGATCAGCTCCTGAGACCGGGGACCTCATCTCTGAGAGCAGCCTGAAGACCGTGGCTTTTGCTCTCACCTTCAGCAAGGGTGATACCCCCCGTAAGCCGAGCATGGAGTCGCCATTTTCCTTTGGGCATCAGAATCTGGCTGTCTCTGGGGGAAAATTTACCCCTTTAAGTCTCCAGTTCCCCACAGGCAGTGATGACATCTGAGCTGGTAGCCTTGTTTTAAGAACCAACTATGCTAACACAGAGAACACACTTAGTGTGATAGGGATTAATGGTGTTATCAATCGTCCCTCCAAGGGATTACACCCAACTCCTACCTGTCCTCCTGCTCTTACTTCCCCTGGGCCATCTTTCCTCTCCCCATCTCCACAGAGATAGACACACCTACATGTCCTCAAGTCACACATACACAAGCCTGGCAGAGAAGTGTTGATCCCCTCTGTCTTTGATACCAAAAAGGGGCGTCATCACCTGTCCATCACTGACAGGTTCACATCTCCACTGACTGCCACTGTGACCTGGTGTTTGGGTTCCCAGCCATCCCTTCTTTGTGCACTCTGCAGCCATCAGCTCACAGGGCCTGGCGGAAGCACCAGGAAACACTGTGGAGGTAACAATTGGCTTGCCTTTTCTTGCCCGTGGCATGTGCCCATCAAAAGTCATCCAGGAACATACAAGAACTCAGGTGACAGAAGACAGCATGTCACCTGTCTCCATGATCCCAAAGGCAGACAGAAGTGGCTGACAAAGCAGACACCTGAAAGTGACACTTATCACCACCTCTCCCTCCCTAGGGCCAGGAGGAGGGCTGCCAGGAAGCCCCACCCCCACCCAGATGTGCAGGCAAAGCCAGCACGCACGTGTGGAGTGTGGCAGTGTGTTCCTAATTAAGACCTAACGAACGCGTGGAGCCTCAGACTCGCTCGACTCAGCTGTGGATTCAGAGAAAGCCTGTTTCATGAAACTCCTCACCCAACAGGGAACGCATGAATTATTGAAAGGACTGAAAAAAGAGAGCCAGGGAGGGAGCTCTGCTCCATTATTCATCAGGCCCGGAGTCCCCAAGTCCCCAAGCACAGCTGCTGGCGCTCACACCTACAGCATTTTCCCATTCTGTCGACAGGAGCGTTTCCAGCCCGCTGTATTGGCAGCCTCTGAGCAGGCTTCCTCTCCCGCTATTCAAGCCTGTCCTCATCTGCAGCCCGCCCTGCAGGGCTGTAGCTAGGGATGGAAGCTCTGCGTAGAGCTGAGTGCCTTCCTTTCCCTTCCCTGCCCCAGCTCAGGGGTCTTCTGGCCTGAGGGTAAGACTCCTTCAAAATCCAGAAGGGCTTTTCTCTACGGCCCCCTCTGGATCTGCAGCCTTAGCCAACATGCAGGCCACGCCCACCAGACCCCAGCTCATTTGCATGTCAAACCCTGAGTGAAATTTCCTCAGATCTTGGTCCGCGTTGACCACTCCATCTGCTCCAAACTCCCTCTCAGCCCTCTGCCTTACCATGGAAATGCTCTTCCTCCTACATGTCCAGATCTCCGACCCAGGAAGTAATTTTCATACAGACCATGGCAGGTGTCACACCTCTTCACTAGCAAAGTCTCAGAGGCGTCCCAGGAAGTCCAAGATTCTTACCAGCTTTGGCTGCAGAGTGAGGAAAAAGCCTGTGTGGAACTTAACAGGGCCCCTCAATCAAAATGATTAAAGAATCGCAAGGTGGGCAAGTTTATCAGGAAATACACCCGACACTGACCTTCCTAAGAAAGGGCTCTACAAGCCCAAGCAGTACCCGGGTTACACAGAAGTGAAGAAGCTCAGGGAAAAACAGTTTGTCTAAGGTCGCATAGCTTGCTGGGTGAAAGAGACAGGTTGAAAATGGGCAGAAAGACTGGGAAGGGAGCCATGAGCATCCCTGGAAATGCCCCCATCAGGAGTTTCATAGGAAAGAGAAAAGGTTGGGCAGGGGGCGCACACCTTTAATTCCAGCACAGAGGCAGAGGCAGGTGGATCTCTGTGAGTCTGAGGTCAGTCTGCTCTCACTATGTAGCCCTGGCCATCCTGGCACTCACTGTGTAAACCAGGCTGGCCTCAAACTCAGATCCTTTTTGCCCTTTCATGGCACAGATCCACCACACCTGTAGTGTAGTTTGTTTGGTAGTTATCTCCTTGGCAGCTTTAGCCTCTGGAAAGTTTATCCAACTTTTAGTCATTCGTTCAACAAACACCTCCATCACACCTGCTATACACCAAGCCTTCTGTGTGAGCTCACAGCATAATCAAGGAGACCGCCAGTCAACTTATCATTGCCACGCTGATGACTCCGGGGCCCAGAGAAATGGCTCCTTAGACCATAGAGAGCACCCTCAGGATGTGGTGTAGTTTATACATGGCAGTGTCCAACCGTGGTGTCTGGATTGGGCGACATCAGCCACACAGGGCGTCTGTATGGGGCTCATGTGTTGACTCTGACAAGTCAGTGTCTGATACCTACCTATACATTTAGGCCAAGGAGACAGCTGAGCCGGTAAAATGACAGCACACGACTGCAGTCCTGAGCCTGGGGACACAGCAACAGGAGAATCCCTGGGGCTTGCTGGCCAGCCAGCCAGGTCTAATCAGAGTCCCTGTATGAGACTCCAACTGCACCCCCCCCCAACACTCCGCATCTCGTCCCACTTCACCTGTAGGAACTTGACAGAGCTGCTGCTGCTGGAAGCTCCCTGTGGCCTGGCTGGCCAAGCCTACATCCCTGCAGACATCCTTCCAGCTTGCAGCAAAAGCCGCTGTGTGCAAAGTTCACCCACGTGGGGAATCAAGGTGCCAGCTGCCATTTCAGAGACGGGAAGATGGATGGGTAGATGATCCGGCCAGAAATTCTGAACGCTTGTGTGTGTATGTTCCCAGCCAACATGGCTGGGTAGCCTTTCACCACACCCTGGCTCCAGCTGCAAACTGTCCAGGGCCCCACAAGCCTGTGAAATTAAGTTTGATGGTCCTAGGCGTAACCATGGAAGCTCTGCATTCCGCTTAACAATTCAGAGAAGAGGAAAAAAAATGCCTAACACCGGAGCCAGGCAGCTGTAAACAGCAGACACGGTTACACCCCTGGGGCTCAGTCTCTGTGAAATGGGACTGTTGTGAGGCTCAAATGACTGGAGGCCTGAAAAGCGCCTTGACCAGCGCCTGGCCCTCAGGACTTAATAAACAACTGGCTGATGCTGGCGTGTTCTCGCCATCAGCAGCGACAGCAGCCGGCACCGGAAGGTGGGTCTGACTCGTCAGGTGTTCTTGGGTTGGACAGCCTCCCCTGTCCCACGACAGCCCCCAAACTCTTCACCTACAGCCTCCGCAAGGGCGCTTCCCCACTGCGAGGGTTTTCCTCTCGGCGGCGGAAGGCATCCTTCAGTCCCAAAGCCCACCCGCAAAGGGCAGCCAGGCCCCGCCCAGGCCCCGCCCCAGACCCCGCCCTCTCCCCGCCCGGAGCTCCGGCGGCGGCCACCGGCACAGTCGCTGGCGCAGAGCGGCTCCGGCGGATCGGACGGGGCGGGCGCCCCGCAGGCGGCGCAGTACCTTCCACCGCGCGCTCCCCGCACGAGTCTGGGGTCGTAGCCGCGAGGTAAGAGCCCAGATGAGTGGGAGGGATAGACACTCGCCTCGTCGAGGGTCGGGGAAGCGATGATCTCTGCGGGTGCCACTGCGTCGGGCTGGCCTCTTTACTGAGTAGTCAGGGGCAGGGTGGGGCGTGCGAGCTCTCTCTCTCTCTCTCTCTCTCTCTTTCTCTCTTTCTCTCTCTCTCTCTCTCTCTCTCTCTGTGTGTGTGTGTGTGTGTGTGTGTGTTGCGCGCGCAGGGGTTGGGGAATCATGATTTCTCCCTCTTTGCGGATGCTTCCAAGCAATCTGCCTACTCCAAAGCCAAAGCCACACTTTCCCACCACAGACCTGGGTGGGACTGAAAGAAACGACCCGGGTGCGGTACAGCGAAGCCCTCCGCCACCTGTTGAGCTGGACTGCGGGTCTCTGAGGGCCAAACTCCCCGGGCTGTCAGAGTCTGACGGGACTCACTTCCCAGGGGTCCCACCCATCTGCAGGTACCTGCCCAGCTTAGGACATCCGGTCTGCTTACATTGCCCTCATCCTGCCTGCCCGAGGTGACAGGAGGGTGCCTGGGGAGGGCTGATAGGAGAAAGGGGCTTTGCCGAAAGCCCCGGGGCTGATGATGACCTAAGGTGGAAGAGCATGAGACATAGGGACCCCGTCCATGCCTTCTGTGAGATACCGACCCCCAGGAAAACCCCATCTCCCCCTATCGCTTCAAAGCGCCCCGCTTAACGACTTCATCGCGTTCCTGGAATCCTAACTCGGCAATGGACAGAGATGCAGCATGTTAACAGTTTTAAAGTGAAATCAAATCCTGGGGCTGAAAGGGGGATTTGGAAACCAGGGTGCCCTGCTGAGAAGCCCCGCGGCTGTTGAGGGATGCCAGCTCCCAGGGTGCTTAGAAACCGTTAGCTTTGTGTTTTGTCTTGCCTCACAGAAGGCAAGAACCCCAGTCACCCCCAGGCTGGAGGCATCAAGGGTTCGCGACCTGAGGCTCCGCTTCCCCCTCTTGCAAAGCCAGGCTACCAATTGTGAGGACTAAGAAAGCTCACAAATGACAGCGTCCATTCACAGTCGTGTCCAGGGCTGCCTCTGCCTCCTCAGACGCTGGACTTGAGGGTGGTGACCACCTGTGAGGAAGCCCAATCAGTTCTCTGAGAGGGAGAGGACCGTGTGGGTGTGAGAGCTTGAGAGAGCTCAAGTTGAGCTTAAGTGAAGATGGAGGAGTTGTAAGTACGGAGCCCTGCCTCTAGGGGGAGCTATCACTACCTCCCCAGGCTTCTGGTCCATTCTTGGCAGACTCCTGGGTCATGGCCAGCTGGTCCTTCACCATGTGCCTGTCTATCATTCCATCCTCAGACTTACATGCTGGCAGAACAGGGGAAAGCTGCATGTGATTTTAGAGGCAGCAGCAAAGCCCCCTCCTCACCAAATGTCATTTCTCCCCGAGTATAGACGCCCGGTGTCTAACATTCCACCGTGAGAGATTCATTCCTTCGGTCCCCTGCCTTGTATCCTATGTCCGCTACTAAGCTGTCACAGCAATGGCTTGTTTAGAGACTTCTGGGGCCTTTGAGAAAAGAGCGAGGACGGAAGGAAAAAGGGATGGGGGTACAGGAGGAAAAGGATGGGACTTCGCCAAACTTAGGGTTCCCAGGAACCCACCCAGTAGTAGCCTGGGAGGAAGAAGGGCTGGGAAGGCAGGAGGCGGGTGATGGGCAAGGAAGGGCTGAGCCTCGGTTGTGATTCTCTGTGGAAACAGGAGGCGGGCACCAGCTGAGGAAGCCTGCGCTAGATGGTGTTGACTAGAGTGGGCTGCAGGGCCCTGTGGAAGGCAAGGAAGCCCCAAAGCAAAGCAGCACCCAGCCACTCAGCACGTTTCTCCTCTCAGCACACAGCCCCAGCCCCATGGGCAGCCGCGCGCAGTCTCTATATTTGGAGCCTAGGCTGTGGCTCTGGCTCTTAGTTAATCACGACAGCAGAAGGACACCAGTGCCTGCCTGACAGGCACACGCCCTCTGCCCCTCATGTCACCTTTCTGGAGGGAAGCAGAAACGGAGTTGTTCACCCACACTCAATGTGACTCCGGGGGTGATGGAGGCTGGAGGAAGAGGGGGGCTTTCGGAATAATTTGTGGGGTCCTGAGTGTCCCAGTGTGGGGCGTGCTGGAGAACTGGAGGGAGGTCCCAACTGATAGAGCCCACTGGGGGAGAGGCAGAGGAGCATCACTTAGATCCGTGGACTTCGTGTCCTGCCACTGTTGACCACCCTGGTTCTCCAGAAGGCAGGGTCGCAATCAGAATGGAGACAGGACGGGCCACCGACATGTCTTTATGGCCTTGCATCCCCAATGGCCATCTTTTTGGTTTGTTTTATTGGTGTTGTTCTCTAATAAAACCCAGGTCTCATGTACCTCAGGCTGGCCTCAAAGTCTCCATGTAGCTGAGGATGACTTCGAACTCCTTATCCTGTCTCTGTCTCTCAAGTGCTGGGATCAGAGCCGTGTCCCACCATGCCTGGGTTATGCACTGCTGTGGTTCAAGCTCGGGGCTTCATGCCTGGTAGGCAAGCACGTTACCAACTGAGCTGAGCTACAAGCCCAAGCCGAGGGACAGCCATTCTTACCTATAACTCTGATGGTGGCAGCGCATCTCTGTTCCTCCATAGGAAATGCCTCTTACCGAGCACCTAGGGTGCTTATGCCAACCACTGAGCTAAGGGACAGGGGTGCTGTGGGATCCTTGGCTTTGGGGGATGGGTCTTCTGGTGTTTGGTGGCAAGCAGGCTGACCTCCGTATTGCAGGGTGCCCCCAGTCTCCACCAACTAGCTACCAGTAGCAACCACCCAGCTACACACCTGGCTGTCCTCAGATATTGCCTGATATCCCCAGGGAGCCAGACAGCCTGATGTTGAGAATCCCCGGGGGAAAGCTAACTAAGAATAAACCAGGAGAAAAAAAAAAAAAAACAGTCCTGTTCCCTCAGGAGCAGCGTTATGCGAAAGCAGCAAAAAGCAGTCAGCTGCGTGGTGAAAATGCTGGCAAGACAGTGCGGGTGAGAGGCTGGAGAGTGGGGCTGAGGTGGGCTGCCATTTCAGTAGGAGACTCGGGAAAGGCCTGCCTGCCTGAGTAGGTGACATTTCAGCAGAGAGAGCAAGATGTGCAGAAATCTGGGGACCCACCTGTCAAGTTGCAGCAGTGGGGGCGGGGGAAGCTTAAGGAGGAGGTGGCTGAGGCTGGACGGAGGGGATGGGGTAAGTGGCTGGAGTCTGACGCTTTTACCCCCCGAGGACTTTTCGATTTATGAGCACTCACAGCCTGCTGGGTGCCGACGCCATCTTGACTGCCTTTAGCTATCATTGACAGAGGTAAGTACTATTTCTTTACTCGGGTCTTTTGATTGTGAAGAATGAGGTCCAGGAGGGTGGAGGAACTTGGTCGGTGCTCCTTGGAGAAAGTCCTCATCCTTAGTGCTCTTATGCCCCGTGCCCATCACCATGCAACAGCCAGGAACTAGGAGGTAAGTGTCACCTCCTGCTCCTAGGCAAATCTCTTCTTGAGTTTGACTTTGCATGTATTCACTGAACCAGACCAGGCTATCTGCTGAGGTTGGAACCAGTATCCCAGGAGGTGAAGGGGCATGAACTCAAGACTGGGAGAAGCAAGAGGAAGCTGAGATTCGTGAGCCAGTGTCTCCCCAGGCCATCAGGGCTGGCTTGCCATCGCCATCTGCTGAGGCTGGCCTGAGGCTGGACTCAAAGTAGAATTTCCCACAGTTGAGCAGAATTGCTGAGACCTTCTCCCTCCCTCTTGCCCCATGCAGCAGTCAGAATCTCAGTTAGGCCCCTGCAGGCCCTTATTTATCGATCCAGCAGTGTATACGGGAAGTAGGGTACTTCTTAAAAACAGAGGCTTAAAAACTAGCTCTGAGCTGAAAAAAGGGAAGCAGCTCCCAGGGGCTACAAAAGAATGACCTCTCTGGTCGATGCTGCTCTGAAGTCCTGATGCCTTCCCCTGACCACAGACCCCAGGATGAGGAAACAAGTAGAGGGGTGCGGCTGGTACCTGGAAGAAAGCCACCTGCCAGCCTGCTTGAGGGGCATCCAACCTAATGAGGGACCCTTGTACTAGGAATTCACCTCCCACGGACGTGATAATTCTCTTTGCCCTGGGTGGAAAAGTCCAGGTTATGGAGTTGCCCGCACAAATGCATTGTCCCTTCCAGGCATGGACTGTGTGGGAGCGTGGGTCCCTAGTGGTTTCATTAGGAGGAGGGACTATAGAATGGAGCTAACAACAGACACGAAATCTGGCAAGTGTCTTGTCTGTTCAGCCTCTGGCACTGCGCCTCACTACCATGCTAGTGGAGCAGTCCCTTTTGAATGACAACCTAGGCAGTTCATTGTGGTCCCCTCCCCCGCCGTCTATGCAGTGGACACATGGGCATGTGCTCTGCAGCTTAACCCCTTCTCGCACCTTGAAAGAGTCGCTTGACCTCCTCGAGCCCCAGCTTCTCTGACTCTGAAATGAAGTGGTGATCGGTTCAAAGTGACCAGAGGTCACTGATACGCCCGGACCCTCTCACCTTCTCACGGCTGTAGCTGTGGATCTCTGCCAGCCCTCTGCGTGATGTACAGACCCAGCTTGGCTGAGGTTTGTCTGGAAAGACTGACACCAGCGTATTCTTAGAAACCACCATGTTGGTGACCCCGGGTCCCAAAGCCACCGTCTGCCAAGAAACGGGCACAATAGTAATGGTGATGTTGTATTCCCTACTCTGAGTTCCCACAGTGTTCTTGCCAACCTTGTCCAATTATGCAGTGAACTTGAGGGGCTGTTACCGTGAGCAGTGTGTGCATGTGTGTGTCAGCTCTCCATATGTGTGCAGATTCAGTATACAGTTGTACACAGGCGTGGGGAGGCCAGAAGTCAAAGCCTCAGGTATTGTTCTTTAGGGGCGAGCTGCCTTTACTATTTTAATTTTGATTTTGTTAAGCACAGTCTCCCACTGGCCTAGAGT